AAAAAAAAAAAAATGGGGGAGGGTTGTGGGGATATGGCTCCTTGATAGAGCACTTGGTAGAGTAAGACCTGGATTCCATTCCTAGCACCACAAAAAAAAAAAAAAGAAAAAAAAAGAAAAAAAGAAAAAAGAAAAGATATTCTTCTTGACAAATCTGATCAAACCTCATTAGCTACAGCTGCCAGTCTCCTTTGGCATTTCCGTAGAGTTCTAGAAACCTCCTGGCTAACTCCTGGGCTTCATAGCAATTGTCTAGATCTCCCTAATAGACTGATTTAATTACCATGTCTTTTCCTTTTGTCCTCTCAGACAAATTCAAATACATGTTAGGCACTGCCTCATATCAGGGGTATCGCAACTCAGACCCTGTCTCAAAATAAAATCCAAAACAGGGCTAGGGAGGCGGCTTACTGGTTGAGTGCCCTGAGTTCAATCCCTGGTACCACCCACCCCCCCCCAAAAAAAAAGAATTATGCTAAGGACCAGGTATGATAGCACACACCTGTAATCCTAGCAGCTGGAGATGTGGCTCAGTGGTTAAGTGCTTCAGGGTTCACTTCCTGATACTCCTGACCGCCCACACACACCAAAAAAAAAAAAAAAAAAAAGCTAAGGGATGCAGGTAAGCCTTCTTCTTATTTTTTTATAGATGGACACAATATGCTTCATTATTTATTTGTCTATCTATCTATTTATTTATTTACACGTGGTGCTGAGGATCGAACCCAGGGCCTCATGCATGCAAGGTAAGTGCTCTCCACTGCCCCATCTTCTTATTTTTAGATACTAGGAACTGAAACCAGATGGGCTTTTACCACTGAGCTACATCCCCAGCCCTATTTATTTTTTACGTATTTATTTATTAGAGACTTGTGATCCTTCTGCCTTAGCCTCCTGAGTCACTGGGATTATAGGCATACGCCTGGCTGGCAAAGCCTTTTGCACAATAACTAGTAAATAGTTAGTGCTTAACAATGTCATTCACAATAAGTAATAAAGTATCTACCTTGTCCTTATTAAGTATTTGCTGTCCTGACTCCGCTTTCTCTTTTGCTGTTGCTGGTCCTCCAACTTGCTATGCACTTGCTCTGCCAGAGTTATACCCCAGTCCTTAGCTATGAATTCTGAGGTATGAGAGGTTAGAGGAAAGCATTATGGAATCTAGATATTTAGGTATGAACTGCAGCTCACTCAATAGCTGAGCCACTTGGGGGCTTTTACCATATTTGAACCTATCTACCTTGTCAGATCCTGCCAACTACTGCAGCCCAGACCCAGTCACTTGGTTGTCTCCTATGGTACCCTGGGGGAAGGAGGGAAAGGGGTGCTTGGCCACAGGGCAAGTGAAGTGTTGACTTTCTTTTTTTCTTTACAGTGCTGGGATCAAACCCAGGACTTTGCACATGGTAGATATGCACCCTACCACTAAGCTGTATCTCTAGCCTGCAAGTGAAGTTTTGAAGTCCAATGGTAGAGGTTCTGACCTCCAAGACCCCAGCCAATTCCACTAAGGCCATACAGCTTCCATTTTGGTTCTCATTTCCAATGGATGGCTGCAGAGAATGGCAGTCTCTTTGAAGCTGTGGTGCTGCCAGTCAGCCAGAGCCTTTTTTCTTTTTAAAATACTTTTTAAATTGTAGACAGACATAATACCCTTATTTTATTTGTTTTTATTAGGTGCTGAGGATCGAACCCAGACCCTCACCCATACAAGGCAAACACTCCACCAACTAAGCTACAACCCCAGCCCAGAGCTCAATCAATCAATCCCTGATAAGACTGCCCTCTTACCTCCTTTTCTGCCTGCTCTTTTGTCCAGGCTGGGCTCTGTCTGCAGTGTTCACTGCCTCTTCTTGTGTGATCATGGCCCCACCCCATCTTGCTTCACACTCCTGAAACAGCTCACCCTCTCCCCCTTTCTTGGTGAGAACATTCTGGCTTGGCCATACCACTTCCAGAATCATGCCTGGAGTTCTATCTTTTGCTCTGGTCTGCTGTGGAGATACCTGTTCACTCCTTAACTTCCAGGAAACTGGGCTGCCCTGCAAGCAACTTCCACCTGCCTCATAAGATACTCCTGCTAAAAGGAATGAAGAAGCTGCTCCAATGAAACAAATAACCTCAAAGCGTGTAAGGGGTTCTTTTCTTCAAAGAGATAAGTCCATGCCCTAAATTGGGTTAAGGAACTATTTCCAGATTGCTTTTTTGCCCCTCTGACTAATTCTATTTGGTAGTTACCTGGTCCCTTCTCAGCTTCTTAGAAAGGTATTCAATAAAACTACCACCTGAAGACATGAATCTCAAAATAACAATCGCAGTATACTGTTATAATCCCTATTTTATGGATGACAACACTGAGGCTTAAACCTTTTTAGAGACTTTGACCTTGCTCAAACTCATATCCTGGCGAGGGCGGTACTGTACAGTGCAACACTACATGTACTGTTTCTGTATTGTTTCCCATGAAATTCTCCACTGTTTATCTCCTCACATAGGAACTGGTCTGCTCACAGGTTGGGGAAGGGATGCTTAATGCTAGTAACTGGTAATTGGCTGAACCAAGTTTTCTGCAAGCTGTCTGGGGACCAGAAAGCCCTAGAAAGAGAAGGCAAGGACTCCCAGAGTATTGAAATACACTCCTCCTAAGTCAGGGCAGACTCCACCCTTTCCTCCCACCCTTCCTCCCCGCTCCCCTTGTGAGCACTGGCTTTCCTTCCTGCTCTCCCTGAGGACCATCTGCATCAGCTTCCACTGTCAGCAGGCAGTGCCTCATGTGGGAGGTAGGAGGTGTCTCTCCTGATGTGATGGCTGGGTCTAGTCCTGCTTTCCTAATTCTTCTATTCTGGGCAGCTCCCACAGGCACTGGGACTAACATAATTTGGGCACCCATTTCCTCCTCACCTGGTGTCATAGTTGTTGGAGTTCCTATCAAACTTGTAGGTGGGTGGGAAGAGCAGAGGGCCCTCCTGGAACTCCCTGAGCAGCGGGTCGTGTTTCTTGGCAATGGTGAGCTGCAGATGAAGACACAGTCCTCATCTCTCCACAGTCCTGACCCAGTGGCTCAGCCCCATATTCCATTTTCTCACTGCCCCAGTGGCTACCTCAGTGGCCCACCCCAACACCCAGGAAGCAAGTCAATCCTGATCCCACAGGCCCAGGCGAGGCAGCTGCCAGCTACTTCCTAGTCCTTGGACTATAGGAAGCAGGCTTTGAATTCCACCTATCTGGAAGTTACTAGTAGGTTTATGTCAGAAGGAAACCTGGGATAGCCATGGTTCCCCAAAGGAGTGGTATCGCATCCTTTAGGGGCAAATAAGGCTGGGGCAAGGAAAGACAACAGGGATATGAGTGGGATAGGAATGCAAGGACATGCAAGGAGCGATTATAGGGCCATGGCAGGCCAAAGGACTTCTGGCTTTCTATTCTAGAGCACATAGGAGCCTCTTCCAGGCAAAGATTAGGCACTGAAAAGATGGCTGCCCCATCCCAGGTGTTGATGCCCTGCTAGCCAAGACTCACCTCCCCAACTGCTGGCTGTCTATAGGGAGGGTGGGGGTAGGAGGAGACCACCCCCCAGGGAATCTGAGCAAAGTTCTCTGTAGAGTATATATGGACCTCCACATGGGCTCAGATTAGATACCTGCTCTTTCTCCCACAGGTCACTGTAGCACTGATTTTTTATGGATTGCCGAACAAAGTGCAACCCAAAATCCTCGATCCGGAAGTTCATGTCTCCGAACCAGAGAATGAGGCTTTAGAAAGAAAGGAGGGCAGCTTGAGGGTTTGAACAAGGTGAGCAAATGGAGAGCAACAGGAGGCATGGGTCTGCTCAATACAAGGGGGTGCTACAGAGTAGAAAGCTCCGGGGGTAAATGAAAAGCCAGATGTTAGACGATCAGGCCAAGACAGATATGCGGGGTCAAGCAGGACCTCTTTTTTTCAGGGGCGTTCTACTGTCAAGCTACATACCCAACCTTTTTTTCAATTTTGAGATAGGGTATTGATAAATTGCTTAGGACCTCACTAAGTTGCTGAGGCTGGCTGTGAATTCGTAATTCTCCTGTCTCAGCCTCCCAGGTATGTGCCACTAGGCCAAGCTAGCAGAACTATTCTAGATTTTCATCATTCAAGCTGAAGAGACCAGTCTAGGGGAGCATATGGCAAATATGGAGCAGACTTTGGCCCTCCCTTCCTCTTCCTCTATTGGCTATCAGGTCAGGCTGAAAAACAGCCCTCCAGGTAACCTCAGGGACCCCAAGTTTCTTGATCTGGGATGTTTAAAAACGTGCAGGGTTTCCAGGCAGAACAGAGGGGCTGAAGGAAGGGGACCTCAGGCAGGCAAAACTGGGTGGGACAGCAGATGAGAAATAAGCAGAAGGGGGAGAGAGGGTGGGAGATAAAGCACTACTGACTGGCTGGGGGTAGATGATGCTAGCCTAGGTTGGTGTAAGGGAGAGGGCAGGGGTGACAGTTTGCAGCTCCAGGCTCACTCATGGTCCAGGATGTTGGGGATTTTATGTCCCTCAAAATTCTGCATCTCTAGGATCCGGTCAAAGTGCTCCAGTCGCTGGTCATTGTTGGCCACATGGGGAGGCAGGTGGCAGTTGATGATGCTGACATAGTAGCCATACAGTTTCAGGCAGATGATGACTCCCCCTTTGTTCCCCTGGTAGGAGAGGTGGAAAGAAGGGTGGGAAGCTACTCTGGGTAGCTTTTCCCATCCTAGACCCAAGGGGAGATAGTCTCACCTCCTCCAGAGGTAGACACACAGATTCCCAGTGTAATCTCTCCACTCAGAGAGCCCAGTCCACCCAGCCAGGGGTCTTAGAGATGCCCATCCCCTGAGGTATGAGAATGAATATGCAAGGTGCTGGGCTGGATGGGGCACCAGAATTCACCAGGATTCACTTTAATCTTCTGTCCAGTTCTAAAGCTCTTAGCTCTCCCAGTTCATGCCTCACACAACAGCTCAGTCCTTACCCAGTACCCGTAAAAGCCAGTAGGAGTGGTTTTTGTAGAGAGGATCTGGATGTAGGGCAAATGTTGATACTTGGCAAACACCAGTAAGAGGAGTCCCTGCATGCGGACATAGGAGATCTGCAGGAGAGGGCAAAGGTCATTTATTAAACTACACACACCAAGTTCATCCCTGGCAGACCTGGGGCTAGGGGCTCTAGAAAGCCCCAAGCCCCACACAAAACCCTAACTTGGGGTCTATGGTATGCAAGTTTAAGACTTAGACTTTTACTCCTTTCCATTCTTTCCCCCAGCTACCAAATGGTGCATTCTGGGAGCTGAAGTTTTAGCTTCTGCTCCTGGTCCTGGAGGTGGAAAGGAGAGAAGATAAGGCTGCCAGAGTACCCTGCTATCAGGAGGGCACGAACCTTCAGTCCCAGCCCCATACATGCCTAGATAATCCTCTCACTGATGCTGACCTGAGATTCTTTGGGTACCTGGATGTCTCTCATCCTATTTTCTCATTGATAAAGCAAGAATAATATTACATCATAGAAGCTGTGGAGGTCATCTGATAGCTATTCTCTTTTTGTTCAAGAATTTTTTAAAGTAAATGCAGGGAAGGAATAGGAGAGATATTTCTAGAGTGCTGGAAACATTTTGTTTTAGGTTTTTTTATTTTTATTATTTAACCAGGAATTGAACCCAGGCGTGCACACTGAGGAACATCCCCAGATCTTTTTATTTTATCTTATTTTAAAATTTTTTATTTGTTTTCATTAGTTATACATGACAGTAAAATACATTTATGCACTTTGATATATCATACATAGAGGGGATATAATTTCTCATTTTCTGAGTATACATATTGTAGAATCATTATTGGCATGCAGTCACACATATACATAAAGTAATAATGTCTGTTTCATTCTACTATCTTTCCTTTTCCCACATCCCCTCCCCTCTCCTCCCTTCACTTTCCTCTACCTAATCTAAGTTAACACTATATTAGCCCTTTTTATTTTAAGACAGGATCTTCCTAAGTTCCTTGGGACCTTGCCAAGTTGCTGAGGCTGGCTTTGAACTTAGGATCCTCCTCCCACAGCCTCCTGATCCGCTGGCGTTACAGGCACGTGCCACCACACCCAGCTAACATTCTGTATTTTGATTTACCTGATGGTAATACAGGTATGCGTACTCACGTAAAAATTCACCAAAATGTATAATCATTTCTGCACACATTCCTGTACACATTCTCACTCAGTTAAAAAACCCTAAGGAAAGGCTACAAAAAGTAAACTATAGATTGTGTAAGTCAGACATTCATAAAGGTAATGCACAGGGGAGGACAGTAAGCACAGAGGACATGTACTCTTAGGTTGGGGAGAATTACTAACATCTACTGAAGTACTTCATATCTCTTTGCCAACTTTCTAAGTAATCATTGTCTTTGCTTTGCAGATATAGGACTTAGGTTCAGAGAAGCTAAGAAACACGCAGGACTTTTCCAGGATTGCCAAAATGCCCATCATATGTGGCTGCAGGAGAGGGGTGGGAATGGGTCACTGCCAATGACCTTCTCTCTTAGGTTCAGGCTGTCTACACCCACCACCCGAGTAGCTGTTTCCGGAGCATGAGGTGCAGAGGCCAAGGAGGAAATCCCCGGGTGGGGAGCGTGTACTGGAGCCTTCCAGGAATTATGAAACTTGATCCCGCAGGCCAGGAGCCCTAACTCAGTGGAGGAGTCAAAGTGGTGGAACCCCCAACTCAGGAGTGAGCAAGAGAGGAATCAGAACCTGAAGCTGCTGCAAATGGAGTATATATGAAAATATAAGTAAGGACTGGGGTAGACTATGAGGCGCTGACTCCCAGGGTCAGGACAGTAGCCAAGAAACCGATAAAGATTCAGCTTCAATCCTAGCCCACAGAGTATGTTTGGCCCACTAAGTTTCACCAAAATGATGAGGCTACTTTTTGTGAAGAAGCAGCAGGAAGTAGGGGGCAGGGAGGATAGAGTGGGGGCAGCATAGGATCAAACTGGAAGAAAGGGTGGGACCATGGGGAAAAACAGGAGGTTTCTAGAGGAAGTTGCAATTGGAGGAAATGAAGTAGGAGGAGCTGAAGAAGGGACTGATAGGAGGTGGCTGGGAGCCCTGGAACAGCAAAGGAATTAGTCCCAGGCTTCTCCACCTATGACTGTCAAATCCATACTTGAAGAACAGGCTGTAAACAAGGCTTGCCTGTCTACCTGTATTCATGCCTAGAGGAAGGAGAGGCATCCATTTTGAGTGCCTGCCTTCAGGCTGGCCTCCCAACCTAAGGAGAGCACATGGGTAGAATGGGTTGTATCCCTGCCACAAGCTGAGCTAATTTCCTTGGCTCAATTCCATCCTACCAATCCCTTTCCAGTTAGCCAAGGCACAAGGAGGCTTGTAGTCTTGAGAAGGGAGTGGGTAATAAGAGAATTGGTTCTGCCCTCTGTGAGGAGTTGACTCCAAGACTGCAGGAAGAGGCCTCTAGATAGATTTGGAGGGAAGCAAGGGCTAAGTTGCTGGCATTTTCCAGCCTATGCAGGAAGTCTAAGCCTTATAGTCCCTTTTCCTTGAAAGGACACAAACCTTTTCTCTAGCACTCTCAGGCAATTGAGGGTCACAGAATTCATTCATTTTTCTTTCTTTCTTTTGGCAGTAATGGGAATTGAACTCAAGAGTTTTGCGTATGTGAGGCAAGTGTTCTACCACTTAGCCACATCTCTTCACAGGTAACAAAATTAATTCTGAAAAATAACAGCTACTCAGAGAAGGGAAAAGAGAGAATTCTGGCATTTTCAGAAGCTGTGATCTAGGTGCTTTGAAAGGGAACATGTTTCAGGTGTGCAAGGCAGAAACAAGAAGAACCAGCAGGGATGAGGATGTGGCTCAAGCGGTAGCGCGCTCGCTGACATGCGTGCGGCCTGGGTTCGATCCTCAGCACCACATACAAACAAAGATGTTGTGTCCGCCGAAAACTAAAAATAAATAAATAAATATTAAAAAAAAAAAAAAGAAGAACCAGCAACCTAAAGCCTTCCTATGTATTCTCCTAAAATATACTGGTTTCTTAGACCAAGAGCCTTTTCCCCCATACCTATCTCCCCTCTCTTAATCTGTAGGCCCCTGGGAATCTGACATACATGTCTCTTATAAAATCAGAGGACTCCTTCTGATATTAGCAGGTTAGCCATGGGATACCTGTCAGTCTTAGAGCTCACTAGTATAGCAACAAAATGTTGTAGTTAGAACATGGATGATTAAGTTTGGACCTGGATTCGGGTCCAAATAGCCCATGTGATTCCTTGATTCACTCCTTCCTGTTGTCCTTTGTTCCTCCCTCCCTACCTTCCTGTTCTGTGCTGAAAATTGAACCCAGGGCCTCATACATGCTAGGCAAGCACTCTACTGCCAAGATACATCCCAATCCCTTTTTTATTTAGAGATAGAGTCTTGCAAGGCTGGCTTTGAACTTGAGATTCTCTTGCCTCAGCCTCCTGAGTAGCTGGGATTACAGGCATGGACCACCTTACCTGGCTAGCCCATGTGATTTCTGAGCTTTAGCTTTATCTGTAAAACAACTCCATCTCAAGAGTTGTTCAGATTTTTTTTTTTTCCTTTGTGGTGCTGGGGACTGAACCCAGGGCTTTGTGCATACGAGGCAAGCACTCTACCAACTGAGTTATATCTCCAGCCCAAGTTGTTCAGAGTTTAAAATAAAGTATGTAAAGAGTTTATTTATTTATTTATTTTAAAGAGAGAGAGAGAGAATTTTAATATTTATTTTTTAGTTTTTGGCAGACACAACATCTTTGTTTGTATGTGGTACTGAGGATCAAACCTGAGCCGCTCGCATGCCAGGCGAGCGTGCTACCAATTAAGCCACATCCCCAGCCCAAGAGTTGATTTATAATGTGCTGAGCACAGTGGTGCACACCTGAAATGCCAGTGCCTTGGGAGGCTAGGGCAGGAGCATCACAAGTCCAAGGCCAGCCCTGGCAACTTAACAAGACCCTCAGCAACTCAGGGAGACCCTGTCTCAAAATAAAAAGGCCTAGGGATGTAGCTCAGTGATAAAGTCTCCCAGGGTTCAATCATCAATACAAAAAAAAAAAAAAAAACCCAAAAAAAACAAAAAACCACTCTATAATTACTAGCAATTACTAACTCAGAGATTTTAGTCTGGGAAGTGAGTAGAGTGTTCAGGGGTGGGCACTGAGGTATTAATAAGCCCTGCTGTTCCTCCACTAATAAATTTCCCAAGGTGACAAATATTTAGGTGTGAAACTAATTTCTGGAGTCCTAGCTTATATCTAGGTACCTTGGAAAGGCAGAGACAGGCAGGAGCCCCAGGGAGTCAGAAGCACAATTTTAATAAATGAGAAAAAGCATGAAAGGTTGAGTGGGTGTAAGAGGAATACATCAGACTGAACATTTGGAGATCAGAGGAGGTGAGACACATTTCTTAATTGCCCATGAACTTGTATGTTACCTTAATGAAGTTGAGAGGGGAAAGTACATCCATGAAGAAACTGCTCCATGGGTCTTCAAAGGCAGTGTCAGAAAGGCGGCTTATGATCCCAGAGTTCATTTCCTGCAAACTGACCATCCCAGGTTAGAAGCTCATTCCCTAGCCTGAAGAATACTGCCTCTGTCATAGTCATTCAGTACTGCCCCAGTAGACTTTCAAGTTCTGGGTTCTGATGAGCATGATTTCTCTTTCTCCCAGCTGTCCTGTTACTGATGTTCAACCCTTGGCCATTGCTGACCCCGGATAAGAAACATGAAACTGGCTCCAATGAGGCTTAAAGTTTTTTACCTTTAGATTCCAAAGTAAGGGAGGACAGGTTACAGAAGTTCCCCAGAGAGAGAGAGAGGAATGGGTAAAGGAGCCCTGAAGACACCTACCCAATAATATATATGTCCAGATTCATATCTTGTTTGTTCAGCTGAAGCAGGTCACTGAGGTCTAGAGGGGGTGCTGCTGAGGCTACATTCCACGTCACAACATGTACACTGTGGAAGGGATGAAAAGAGAAGTCATGGAGAAACGGGGGTTAAGACCTTGTCAAGATAATGGATGGGGTCTAGGCATGCTAATGGCTGCATCATAATCCATTGCAGTAATAATGGAAAATGTGTTTCTATGTCTTCTGGTGGTAGCAAAATGAACAAAGAACTACATAAGCTCTTCACCTTCATTTTTGTTCCCTGAAGCAGGAATCTCTGCCCTGAACTGGCTCTTCCATACAGGCCCAGAGCTGTGCATACCTAGCAACACTGCCACTGCTAACAGCAGAGATGACAAAGGGAACTCAAAGACTTTTAGTCAGGGGAAGAGATGAGTGGCACTGAATAGCCAGCCATTTATTAATCCATCAGCTCCTTCAGCCATCCATGCTTCAGCAATCATCTATGGCTCAGTCAGCAACTTCCTATCCCCACTCCTCAACCAAGGGGTTCCTAAGATCACCAGGAAAATCCTGGGAGTTCAACTGTACCTGGTGATAAGCCTCATGATTATAAAGTCAGGGAAATTTCAAAAACAACAGAGATAACACCACATTCCCTTCCTTGCTCCCTCCTAACAAATTCATGGAGCACAACAAATCCTGCCAAGCCCATCAGGGAGCCTAAGGAGAAGCTTCTAAATAACAGGTTTCTCAACATCTCTCTATAAACTACCCTCTCTTGAAAAAGTCATCAGCTGGTTAACATTCTCCATCTCAGCTCCAAAAGAATTCCAGGGAAACAAGAGAACTATATCAGTAGCTCTCAAAAACACTACATCCCATCAGAAGCTCAAAGGAGGTAAAGAAATCTCTTAAAGGGAAGTTACAGCAACATTCCAAGGATGCCCAGACTGTGCTGAGTACAGAGCAAGCAGGAACTGCAGACCCTGCAGAGATCAAGAACAGCCACCAAGCCTCCTGTGAATCTCAGGAACACTGTGAGTACGAATACCTTCAGCAGTTAAAGATCTGGAATGGGGGTGGGGATTAAGAGGGGTAGATGGAAGAGAAAGGCAGGTTGTTCCAAAACATCTGTTCTCCACCAGACCCTGTTCTTAGAACATGACTTGAAGAAATTCTTGGCCAGCTTAAAGCTATGAACATAAAATACAAAACCCTCTCTATGAAAATAAAATACAAAACCTGCATTCTCAAGAACTTTGAGATTATATACTTGAATTGTTTATTATCTCCCCCTGCTGTTCAACAAAGGATTAAGGAAGGCAAAGCGTCCTGTTTTCCCAGGGACTTGTTCTAAGTGGATGAAGAACAAAATTCTTGTCCCCACTCTTGATGATTAGCAGCAAATCCATGCATCGTGACTTACACTAAGTGGTGATTAGCTTTGTTCCTCCTGAAAGAGCAAGCATAAGACCAGGCTTCACTTCACAAAGATCTTACCTAAATCTGATTTTCGGATTTCCAGAGGTCATAATGGGATTGGCATATCCCATGGTCTATGTGCTGATGACAAGCAGGATCAAGATTTCTACCCTAGAACTGAGTGGCAAATGCCTTAGTATGTCCTTAATTAGCCCAACACAGCTGTCTGCTCCAAAAACCAACAGGGCACATGAATGGGAAGCCCCTGCAGGAGCGAGCTCGACCGTCTACGTTGAGAGGACGTGCGAGGCTCGGACACAATCTATTCCATTGGACACTGGCCTAATAGAATTTGAGAGAGCCTCCAAACCAAGCCAGTCGTGTAGCTCTGGCCTCTTCCTTCCTGCTCTGGTTCCATCCCCTAAGCCCGCAGTCCCGATTGGGTTGAAAGCAACAATCCCCTGCTGGAGCGGGCCGACCTGCTCCCTTGCGTCCTTCTCACCTAAGCTTCTCTCTTTTCTTCCCAGGCATCTTCCGCAGGTTCAAGGCCGCCATTCCCACGCTGTGACCCGGCGGGCTCGCGTCTCCTTTCCCCAGCAGATCCCAGCCAGGGAAGCCCCTCTAGAGGCTGGTCTTGCTCTCTCCGGGTTGTTTTTCTTCCGGATTCTGACGGTCCGCCTCGGCTTCCGTAAGAGGCGGATCTTAATACGCCAAGGGCTCCGGGTGGTGCGGTCGAGGGAAGAGGCGGGACTCCCCAACAAGCGCGAAATGACCAGAAGCTAAGAAAGGGACTCAGGGGATCCGGGGACGTAAAAGAGGCGTGTCTTGCCTGTCATCATAACTCAACGCAACACTGCCCCGGCAGGCGAGCTGAAGGACCGCAGCCGGGCCGCCGCTCCCAGCCTGCTCTGCGCTAGGCCAGCCGGGAACCGCTTCCGGCGGAACTCGCCCGCAAGCCCATGCGAGTTTCCGCGCTCTAACTCTACGCGCTCGGGTCGGGTACGAGGCTTTGCGCTCAGCCCTTGTTGTCCCTCCAGCCTCGCCATACCCAGACACCCAGGGGAAAGATGTGGGTGGGGACACGCAGTAGCCACTGTCCTGCCTGGGACCCGGTTTCTCCCTCACTACAGGTAATTCAGTCAGTCCCTAGGCATTTCACTTTGGTCGTGGAGCTTCTGCATTTAGTTCTCTTCTGCCGCTTTCAAGTGACTCATTTTCTTTTGGTACTGGAGATTTAACCCACAGGCACTTAACTCCCAAGCCCATCCCCAGCCTCTTTTTTTTTTTAATTGTTTATTTTGAGACAAATCTTGAGACTAATTTGATGCCCTCCTGCCTCGGCCTTCGGAGTCGGTGGGATGAAAGGCATGCGCCACCGCACCCGTGTGGCTTTTGCTTTTTGAACTCGTTTTCCCTATTACTAAACATGGGACATTTGGGATTCCTGGACTCTTGAAGATGAGCTATCATGAATGAAAATAAGCCACTGCTTATAGATTTGGTCTAGATTCAAGACTAAACATGAAATGGAGATTGTTTACTTTGCCTAAGATTCCTAATAATTTTGTTCAAGTCCTTGATTCTTAATCTTTCTTGGCGGCAGCAGGTGGGAAATGTGTGGGATTCATTTGAGAACCATGCCTTCTCACCGCAAAAAATGCAGCAGGGTAAGGACTCCTACTTTAGCCAGTAAAGTGTGGCCGGTTATCCACAGTCCCAGGTATTCTAGAAGCTGAGGCAGGAGGGTGGCTTGAGCACAAGGTTTGAGGCCAGCCTTTGGAACACTGAGCACTGACACACACACACACATACACACATTAAAAAAAAAAAAAAAAAAAAAAACTGGGCTGGGGCTGTACTTGGTAATAGAGAGCTTGGCTAGCTTGAGTGAGGCACTGGGTTCAATTCTCAGCACCACATAAAAATAAGTAAAGGTATTGGGAAAAAAAACAAAAACCAAATATTTTCTACCTTAAATGTTTTTGCTTGGTAGGGTAGATAAGAGGGATATGTGAAGAGGAGAGGTAAAGAAAAGCAAAAAAGTAAATACTATCAGTAAAAAATGGCTAAATTACATTCAGATATGCAGTGTTACATAAGTAAATCAAAAAGGGCTTGTATCTTTTCCCCAGTCCTGCTCTGGTGAAATGGGGAACATCTGAAAGAGTTTGAAGATATTAGAGTTATATGGACATAAGAAATCAATAAGATGGACTCCAGAAAGCTCTGTCTAGGATTTTATTAGACTGCTTTTTTTTCCCAATATACCTGTATTGGAAGATTGAGACAAAAAGGCACAAACTCACATTAAATAAACAAGGTAATCTAATCAGTTCTACAAAGTGTAGTTTGTAAAAGAAGGAGCACTAGGAACCAACCAAAATAAGTCAGGGAGTCCTGGTATGGACTGTGAAAGGAGAACATGGGAAGATATACACGTGCCCACAATACTGACCCTGTCCCTGACCTCTCAATGAGGAGGCCCAGCAGCCCTTGTGTAGAGGCATTGCTGCTTTCATTTGGGACAAAGACCCTGGAAATCTAATGGAAGCAGCTGGTCTGAAGGGGCATGGCACAGCGGCAGGTGTAATCCCTGGAGCTAAGCCTTTGCTCATCATAAGCCCCTCTGAGTGCTCATATCAGTTTTGGGGTGGAGAAGGAAAAGAAGGAAGGAGCCACTTAAAAGAAGCCAACACTATTGCCCAGCAGCAACATCATCCATAGGGATGGATTAGAAAGAGATATCCCTCCTTTTGTTTGTGTGGGCAGGAGCCCCAGATCTAGGCTGATCTTGAGAAATTCCAGCTCAGCTCATTTAGATGCTTTCAAACAGGGCAACAGGTAGAAGTGGGAGAAGCCAGAGAAAAGGCAAACGAAGAGTCAGCCCCCACCAGAGCTGAAGTGATATGTGTAGATCTCAAAGAACTGAACAAAGGAGGCTAACATCTGCTGATCCTCACACCACATAAACAACTGTCTACTTAGAGTTTCAGTTTCTCCCAAGAAAACCCACACCTGGACTTCACCTAGTTGATGAATGAAGAAGAAAAATCTTTAAGCACAAATATAATTAATAGCTAATATAGAGCTTGCAGGAAAACATTTTAATTTTTCTTCTGTAGGAATGTCTCTCTTCAACTTTTCCAATCCAATCCAATCCATGCTCCTAGCAGTTGAGATGCTGATCACCAGCTGAAATGCCCCAGGTCCATTACCAAAGACCCTACAAGGTGAGGAGATTAATACATAGGAAGGTACCTATAATGAGATATCTCCTGGTCCCAAAGGGACCTCAATGAAGGTCAGAGCTAACCATGCTGAGGGATCTGAATCTGTCTGCCCTTGCCCTAGGAGGGCCACAGGGAAGCATCTGTCAGGAGGATATCACAGGTGCAATCTGTGAGATGCTCCATTATTGCACTTGGAAATGAGTAAGGCAAACACACAGACAAAACTTAAGGATAAAATGTCCCTTCCCACTTCTCATTCTAAACAGATTTGGTTTCTCTCATTAGCAGAGGGACCCAGGCTAGTATGGGTTTGGGTCACTGCACACTCAGGCCAACATACTTCACAAGGCTTGGGAAATGTCAGGTGACACCATAGCTATCTCATATTCTCCCATCAAGAAGGCATACTCAGGTTCTGCTGAGTCAAGGAACTGGGAAGCACTCAGCAATTTCTACTTCCCTGGAGCCTGGACTTGTTCACCAGTCTACTTTAGTGGAGTTCTTCCATTATGATCAGTGCTTACTTCTGATTGTCCAGGACAGAACTCAGCATGGGCAGGACAAGCTGAGTTCGTGATTCCCAAATTCTTTTCCAGTGATTGGAGACAAGAGGGTACATGTTCTGCTGGGGCAGGAGGGAATTTTTGCATGCTCATTTTGTGCAGCATGAAAAGATCAGGACTTCTGCATCCTAACCAGCCTCAAAGACAGAGGACAGGGATCAAAGAAAGCATAGAGAAAACAGGATTATTGCTGAGTGGCAGCACCAGCCCAAAAGGGAAGAGGAGCCTAGAGCTAGCTCCTCAGGGGTCAGATGGATTGGTATCTATGGGGCAGATTCAATTCTAAGGGCCACGCCGGACAATTCCCTCCAGGTAGAAAGGTGACCAGGGTGTCTTGTAGGCTCTGCAGAGAAATTCAGACAGAGTGGGCAACAGAAAGACCAAGAAATCACGCTTGTTTGTAAAAACAGTGGCCAGAGATGCAATGACAGGGGCAGGGATTATTCATATGGGTTAAATTTTCTTTAAACAGAATCTGGGCCTTGGGTACCTCCTTCGTGCTTAGTACATTGTAACAATGGGTAACTGGGAAGAGAGGTAAGAGTTATGAAGCCACATTGCTATTCTGTGGAACTAGGTGGGGGAAATAGGGGAGGATACTGTATTTCTAACTCATCTTCTCTCCCCAGGTGAGCATTTAAAATTTCAAGGATCTGCCCAGGAAGCAAAATACCTCAGTTTATCCCAAGGCTGAAAACAAATGAACTTAAATCACCACATCACAAAAGGCAGCTAACTTGAAGACTAAAAATGTCACTTGGAAATAAAGGTGGGGGCATTTCCAGAAATGGGGCAGAACACAATGGAGAGAGAGGGAGGAGGTGTAAATACAGCAGCCTATACACCACATATCTCAGAAGAGCAGGCTCCCGTAATACCAGACGGTCTATTTGTTCACAATATTAAAGGGCATCTAGAATTAGCTACAGTAAGGAATTGAAAGTTGCCTGAAGAATGGGCACAGAAAGGCTGCGTCCGAAGATGGCCTGTCACTCAGGAGGGTGGAGCTGCTGGGCCTTCCTGTTGACCACTGTCTTGCGAAACTAGAAGAGAAATACAATTATTAAGGAAGCAACAGAGGAAAACAGAAGTACATTGTAAATCATCTTGAATGGAGGAATTTCAAAAGGAGGAAGGATGCTAGTTGTGGGGAGGGGAGTGGGGGAAGAAGGCACTAAGGCCCCAGCAGTGACTGAAAGCTGGCATTGCAGCTATCCTCTTAATCCTACCCTTCTGTCTCCTGGAAACTGCTTTAAGAACATGGGGCAGTGAGTGTACACAGAGGTTTGCATCACTGCTGGTGAGACTCTGGTGCTCCTTCATTTTTTGGTGCTTATAGGACAGCCAGTTTATTTGATTAAGTAATTTTCATTCAGAGCCTAATCTGAGAGCAGAATCAAGTTTTTCTTCCTAGGACCAAGACCACTCTAAGCTACTGAAATAACCTGAATCTGGAGCTAATAAGAGGAAGAAACTTTAGGAAAAGTGACAATGTGAAACAAGGGTCACTCCTATTCCTGTCCTGTGATCTGGGCAGAAACTCTCCTAGCATATGAAATGCTAACTCTATTGAAGACAGCTATTTAGTATGGGACAGGGGGATATAAAATAAGCAACAAAGTGCCAGATACAGTGATGAATGCTAAAAGAAGCTATCTGGCCAACAAATTGTCCAAGGAAATTGAACAGGGCAGGGATGTGAGAACTAGAAAGTCTGGCATGAATAGTACAGGAAAGTCCCCCAATATTGCCACCTTCAACTATGGCTCAAGTTGCAAGAGGGGAAAGTAAATGATGAACTTCATTCATTATTGTGAATTATAAACTTTGCTTCTGTGTCCACAACCCTCTACCCTTCTTGTTACCACCCTGTTAACATCTATCTAGGTGAGTCTTTGTAAAATATGTCCCTTAAGTGTCCTAACAAACATAAAATCCCTTTCATTACAACACAAAAGCTTGCCATTTACCATGACAGTCATTATCATTACTAGAATAAAGGATGAGGAATGAAGTAAGTTTTCTCACTCCATTGTGAGTTGATGAGGTTGTAAGGACCCAAACTAATTGCAGCTTCTATGACAAGCCCAGTGAAAAATATAAAGTACATACAGTGCAGAAGGGGGAGGGGTGGCTTTAGTCATCTGCTGTCATTCCTTTCACTGGGTCCTTTTGTCTCATCTGGAACAGAAAAAGCAACAAAAATTGAAGGCTGATGTAACTCCACCATAAATATGTACTGCCAAGAGATAGGGTAGAGCATTTTTAATGCACAAAGCAAAAACTGGAAAGGCAGAATTCTGCATATATATAGCCAAAACTATATCATTTATAAGCTCTGTTGTTGGTCCCACCATTCATAACAACTTAGTAATTTGCTAATGCAAAGCCAGGTTCTATTTTCTCACTGCCTTTATTTATTTATGTATGTATATATATATATATATGTTACCAGGGATTGAACCCAGGGACATTTTTACAGTGAGCTATATCCCCATCCCTTTTTATTTATTATTTTGAGATAGTCTCATTAAGTTGCTGAGGCCAACCTTGAACTTGTGATCCTCCTGCCTTTGTCTCCCCAAACCCAGGGCTTGCAGGTATGTGCCATCATGCCCAGCTTTCACTGTCTTTAATAAGATGCAACTTTCTATCAGGGAACATGGTGGCTTCCCCCACTTTCAGAGATGAGTTTCGTCCTCCACCAAGGGTACCACTGAAATAATTCAGGGTTTTATTTTTACAGTAAATGCCCTAAGAATGGTTATTTCCTGCTTCCTGGGGCCTAAATGACATGAGAAATTAACCAGATATTTTGCTATTCCTCAGTCACAGCCATGATAGGCTTTACATACAGTTGAAGAACATGAAAACAGAAGTACCTGGAACAGAAAAAGCAACAAAAATTGAAATCCTTTTTTTGTTTTGTTTTGTTAGCAGTGGTGTCCACTAGGAAATGAGGCCCATTGGACCAATGGGATTTTATTATTATTTGTAAATAAATACCTTTATTTTATTTGTTTTTTTTTTTTATGTGGTGCCAGGGATTGAACCCAGTGCCTCACACATGCTAGGCAAGCGCTCTACTACTGGGTCACAATGCCAACCCGGACCAATTGGGTTTTTATTTTTTGGTGGTACTGGGGATTGAATTCAGGGGCCATTGAGGTTATGTCCCCAGCTTTTATTGTTTTTTTTTTTTTTACTTTGAAACAGGGTTTCACCAAATTGCCCAGGTAGGTCTTCTGTCTCAGCCTCCCAAATCACTGGCATTACAGGTATGTGGCACGTGCCTTACAGAAAACCATACTAGATAAAGGAGGATCGCAAATTCAAAGCCAGCCTCAGCAGGTTAGCAAGGCCCTCAGCAACTTAGCAAGACTCTGTCCCCCAAAATAAAAAGGGCCAGGTGTGGTGGTGCATGCCTGTAATCCCAGTGGTTCAGGAGGCTGAGGCAGGAGGATCTCGTGTTCAAAGCCAGCTTCAACTGTGAAGAGCTAAGCAACTCAGTGAGACCCTGTCTCTAAATAAGATACAAAATAGGGCTGGGGACGTGGCTCAGTGGTCTAGTGTCCCTGAGTTCAATCCCCAAGTACAAATAAATAAATAAAAAGGTCTGAGGATGTGGCTCAATGGTTAGGGCCAGGTACTTAAATAAATTCAATATAGGGTAATGATAGAGCAGCATATTTTGCTGTCATAAACATGTACATAAAGAAATTTTGAGGGATAATATATGTTGGAGAGGATGTGGAAAAAAAGAAACACTAAAGTTGGTGAAATTTTCAACCACTATGGAAATCAGTATAGAGGTTCCTCAAAAGATTAGGAATGGGCTGGGGGTGTGGATCAGTGGAAGAGCACTTGCCTACCATGCATAAGGTACTAGGTCAATCCCCTGCACCACATTTAACAAAAATAAAAAAAGGGGGGGTGTGCTGGGGATGTGGCTCAGTGGTAGAACGCTCACCTTGCTCATGTGAGGCCCTGGGTTCAATTCTCAGCCCCACATAAAAATAAATAAATAAAGTAAAGGTACTGTGTCCAACTACAACTAAAAAAATATTTAAAAAAAGAAAAAAAGATTCTCTTAGAACAAAAGCAGAGAGGGAGGAGAAAGTGGGTGAGAAAGAAACTACTCTCTTACAAGCACATATTTCATGGGCATAGAAATAATTTTTCAGGGCAAAAACTAATCTCTTGATCCTTTTTTTTTTTTCTCTCAAATTGTTGGGCCTCACCCAAGAATGGTGGGCCTGCCCCTTCCAGGGACTAGATTTACCACAGTGGTGACTGTGGCCTTATGTTGTCCCTTCAAAACAAAAAAACCAATGAACAATAGACAATTATTCATTGGTTTAAAGAATAACTCATAATTCCTACTACAAACTTGCAATTAATCATGAAATACCGAATACCTGTATTTATTCCTCCCCAAAACCCTACTGCGATGGAGGAAAGAAATTAAAAACAAAAAGATATAAAACCACAAAAACAACAGCAAATAAGAGATGGTAACATTCTGAAGATGGAAAAAGGATGGATGAGTAGTAACTAATTCACAGAGCAGCAGAGGCTGACACCTAAGTATGCTTGAGGACGGGGAGCCAAGAAGGAACCTATTAGTTTATGGTGCAGCTTCTCCAAAGGCTTGGGAACTGAGCGCCAGGTCATTCTGCAGGTGGGAGTGCCCAGTGGGTTGAAAACAGATGACTTGTTTGAAAGTCTGAATAGAGAACAGTTAGGTCCAGGTGTACTTTCCCCTTGCTCTCCAGGTCAAGCAACCACCCCACATTAGGCCACATCAAAAGGCAGGAAGTTCACTCGAGATGCAAAGGGAAGCCTAGACTTGGGACCCCAATTCAGTAAGGGGCAAATTAAAGCCAATGGATGATATAGTAAATCTGCCAGGACCCTTTCCCACTTTCCCAGTTTGGTTCCCAAAATGTTGGCTACCTAACTACCCCTATACAAGAGACTGGGGCTGGGTGTGGTGGTATATGCCTGTAATCCCAGTGGCTCAGGAGGCTGAGGCAAGAGGATCGTGAGTTCAAAGCCATCCTCAGCAAAAGTGAGGAGATAAGCAACTCAGTGAGACCCTGTCTCTAAATAAAATACAGAATGGGGTTGGGAATATGGCTCAGTGGTCGAGTGTCTGTGAGTTTAATCCCTGGTACCAGAAAAAAACAGAGAGAGAGACTGGGGAGTCCTCTCTAAGCAAAACGCAGTCCCTTAAAAGACTCCCTATTGTAACTACCTGACTATCCCTACAAGGAAGCTCTCTCATTGGTTTGATGAAAGCCCCTAACATTAAAAAAAAAAAAAAACAG